TTGTGGAAAGCTTATAAATGCGGGATGAGACCATTCGGGGTCCCAAACATAATCTGATTGTTCTGTGATAGCGGTATCATCGTTCGAATTTTGGGGTCTAAAATTTTTTCTTGCTTGTGCAATTAAATCAATATTGTGTGTGAAATAATCTATTATGAACCATGCCAAAATTTTTTGTAAATCGTGTTTGGTATGTTGTGAAACGTCGTCTTTCGTGAAATTTTCTTTAATGATGTTTAAATAACTAGAGAGTAGTGTAATTTCATGTCGTACTTTCAAATGTTTGGATGTTTCTGTCGGTGAGACATTTGTTAGTGGGAGTTCATTTTCTAATATCGAAATATAACTATATATTATTGCGAAAACTTCATTGGTGAATATGGAGTTTGCTCTTTGTGAGTTATGGTATTGGATGCTTTTTATATATTCTGAAAAAACTTTTGAAAATTCTAAATCAAGATCGTCTGTTTGAATAGTATATGTTCTATTATTATGGTTTGGGGAAGTGAATTCTATAGAGTAGATTCCATACTGCTGTGTTATGTTGCATATATCTTTTAGATAGTGATCTATGATTTGTCTTTTGATTTTTACATCGGGGAACTCTGTTTTACATGGACTGATTCCGGGTTCAAATAAATTTACGAGTAAATTTTGACAAAATATGTGTTGTCCTCTATCAGTATCTGCGTCTACTATAAAAGGAAAGATTTCATCATCATCTGGAGTTTCGTCACCTGGGGTGTGCGTTGAACTCATTTTTCCGTTCGATGACTGTTAATATGTAATTATTAATGTGTCGAATTGGTTGATTCCAATTGTATAAATGTACTGGTTTGTGTTTGTACTGTTTTTTTATTCTTCTTTTTCCTCTTTGTGATGAATTTGAAGTTGTTTCTGAGTCAGAAAAATATAATTGATCGTGAAGTGGGTAATTTTTATCTATTGATTCTTTTAGTTTGTAAAGTTCGTCTAAACTGTTGGTTTCTGATTCTGAAAATGCGTTTCGATTTTTTGAAAATCTTCTTCGTGTTATTTGTCTTTGTTTAGTTATTATTTTTCTCTTTAGTGTTTGTCGTTTTGTTCGAATGTATCCAACTGTTTGTGTATGAGGTGTGATTACAAGGTCGTATTTTTTGTTATCTATTTCACAATTGTGTAAAATGATTGTTTGTTTATTTCCTAGGTTTTTAAATGACATAAGGTTTAGGATGACGGATGCAAAAGGTTGTTAAATGATTTCTATTTTCCTAACTGTTAGTTCTTACGATTTTTTGGTTAGCTTAACCTGGGTCTATTTGTTCAGGGTTGGAGAGAAAAGTATATCGATTCCGAAGAATGATTTTTTACTTTCTCGTGACTAGTATAAGCTAAGGTGTTAACTTACTTAATCTTACTTAGGGGTAGTGATTGTGTTCAAGGGTTGGAGAATAGTAAATCGATCCACAAGGTTCAGGTATAATTAGAACGCGAGTAGTTCGTTAGATACTATTTTAAACTTACTAAGTCTAAGATTTATCCTGGGTCTGGTAAGAGGGGGGGTCAAGTGAAGGATGATTAACCGAAGTTCTTCACTGTTTATCCTAATTTGAATGATTAGTTTTGTTTAAAAATTTCTATTAGTCTTGGGTCTTTAGAAAGGGTTGGGTAGTGAATCGACGTTTGAGGTCGTTAGACACTAATTAAGTGGGTGGGGGAGAACAAAGTTGTTCTGTTTGATCCAAGGATAAGCCTTGATGATCAAATTTGAAATTTAATTAAGTAGAAAATGATTTAAGATCCAAGGATAAGCCTTGATGATCTGGTTTTAAAATTAAGTGACTTTAAGTTTTAATAAAATTTTAGATGTGTGTAAAGGAAAGATTTAGTGTTTTGATGATATTAGTGAGTTGATGATTGCTGTTATGTTTTAGGTGATGAAGCTGGAACAACAAGATGATTTATGATTTCTAACCATTTATTGTCATGCTACTAATTTTTATTTTTATTTTCCAATAAATATTTTTCAAACATGTTTTGTATAATACTGCAGAGTTTTAGGAAAACGATCTTAGATCTTTTTATCAATCGTTATTGTATAATATTAATTTTGTTTAGCGCCTGAAATGATTTTGAAGATTAACTTCAAGGTTTTATGTTTGCAAATGGAAATCTAAATTCATTGCAAGTAGTATTCGAAATATAAAAGTTTGTTCTGGCTTTTGCCGAACTATCATATAACTATACGGCAAGTTTCTACTTTGTCGTATGTCGTCTTTGGTTCGATGTCTTCTTCCAATTCCGGGTAGTTCTATTATGGTTCGGAATATTGGCTCTGATCTATTGAGTCGGAGAGACATTTCAATTAAATTATTGTCGTATAACATTTTGTAAATGTTTTTGTCTAATTTCTAATCTAATTTTGGTTAATTCTAATCTAGTAAGGTCTTGTTCGAGACTTATGGTCGCACCAGATGAGTTAGGACCGAAGTGTAACTCATAGAGTAATTTCGGATAGGGTACACCGTCTGCTCGTCACGCTATCTTATTTTCGGCCGGATAGATTCGTGCAACTTCTTAGTCTAATACCGATCCTAATCTTACTCTTATACTATCTAGTCTCAGGTTGTTTAACTAGTCTCTGCTAGGCTCAATAGATCTAGGGTATACTGGTTTATTGCGGCTGCTGAAGTGCTCGGGAGAGTCCAACTAATTTCTAAGTTAAATTCAAATCTCTCTGGTGCTGAAATTACAAGTAACTTCAGCACTTACAAATAAGTGGGTTGTTAGTTAGATGGATCATGATTGGTTAATATTAAATACTTTACATTGGTAAAACATTTAATTTATCCAATCATAAAATGTAGTTTAGATCAGGTTCCAATACAGAGTATCTTTGGAACTGTAAGCATTTTATCATAGATAAAAGACATTTTTTCAGTTGAACAATTTCGATATTGTAAAACTATATTTCAGTCGCCAAAATTACACATCAATTCTTCATGAGTCAGAGGAGGAGATATAAGGGGGGTGGGTGGGGTGAAGTTATGGGTATTTTAAAAAAGCTAGTCTGGATTTTTTGGGACAATTAACTATCGATATATTTCCATTTTATAACGCGGAAATTGTTTAAAAAAATCGGGCTCAGAAATTGTTCCAAATTAAATTTCTGGCTCAGAAATTGTTCCAAATGAATGGAGGCAGGCAATTTGTCCTAATTTTTTCGTTAAAATAAGTCAAATCTATCACCTTGTTCTTAATACGGTATCTGGGAAAGAGGGAGAAAATTGAAATTATCAGGAAAAACGAACAAAATTGGAAATTTTAAAAGCGTTTTTCCAGACTTCACATCAGACAAAATTGATCAGATATAAAAATGCTTAGAAATTTCCTTAAAAGAATATGGTGCAATTCATTTTTGCGAAAATCAGGCCCAACACTATACCTAAAATTAATCAAAATTTAATCGTTTTATGTTGCCCACTAGGTTTTACAAAACTTCAACCGTCAAACTTTTGCGCAAAGCGTCCAAACTATTTTTTGAATTAAAAATTAATATTTCGTATTATAAAAAGGTCATTTTCAGCTATAAATTTGTCACTTTTGGTCATAATAATGTTTTGCGTATCAAGAACTGAGAAGATTATAATTATCTTAAAGCTTGTTGGAAAATATAACAGGCTCTTTTTTTTTAGTTTGTTTCAACAATGGACACTCGCTTCAACGTAAATTTCAATTAATAAATTGAGGCAATTATAGCCAATTTTTGGGGTAATTTGTGAGCAAATTTTTTAAATTCTGTCTACAAGCACAATTTGTATTTTTAGTCTAATGTCTACCCAGTTTGAGAAAAACATTTTCCGCTTGATTCAATCAGCGCTGTATATTGAAAAAAATGATGTTAGATTTTTAGAAAAATGATGTTTGAAACAGAAAATGATGTTGGATGTTTAGGAGGTCAAATTGATCGCAACTTGAGTTTCACTGAACATATCTGAAATGAAAGAAAAAATAGATGGACAAAGTTCTTTTAGTTTCTCTACCAAACTGAAAAACAACTCATGAAAGTCTAAAAAAGCTACAGACAACCCATCTATCAATGTGGAATACTGATTTATGGCTGCACCTCAAAAACAAATCTAGATACAATACAAAGTTTACTCAATCTATGAGCTACATAGAAACAAGGTCTTAAGAGCAAAAGTTATGAAAAAAAGATTAAGTAAAGATGTGAATAACTTCATAACATCCAAAGATGTAAGTGGTCATATTTTAAGTGACGCACGGAATAGAACATTACAAACCCGATCTGTAAGGAACAAAATTATTTAAAAAAGTGAGCGAGGCATACTTCTTGTCAATATGATTGTCAAACTAGTTTATATGTATTTGTTAAAGATAATGCAATGCCCAGCAGCTAAATTAGACTGTTTTGTTAATAAAGTCAGAGACCTATATCTATTTGACACTGATTTCTGTGAAAGGTTTTTGGTAAAAACTGGGTGGAAAATCTTTTTTTTTAAAGAGTTACTTGTTTGTTTCATTTTAAGAAATCATAGAAAAAATTCTTGGTCTTTATGGTTTAGATCTACATCAACAAAAACGGTTTATGCAAAACTTTAGGTAGCAATCGGATGAAAGAATATGGATTTTGATTCTGCAAGTTGCTTTCAAATGGCAACTGCAAACAGGCTTGCAGCCTTACGGTGACTATTCGAATCGGCGCTACCAAAATTGTGCAGTGAAATAAAAAGTTTGTAATGCGCCTGATTCGTAAACGAATTTATCTATTATTATGATTATAAAGAGAAAATGTGACACAAAAAAGTCAACTTTTTATTTCTTACGTTTCAAAAAGTGTTAATCAAAATTGACGCCACCTTCTCTGGATTTTTGGGGCTAGCGAGTTTTGCTTCTATGTTTTTGCATGGTAGTCTCTTAATGTAATCATAGATTGACTGAAAATATCATTTTCTCACGAATTACGCTGAGAATGATTTTTTCAGAGGCAGTGGCGATACTGGAACAACAATCAGAATATTTCTACAACAGTACTTCATGTATCTGCAAGAAGACACGTCTTTGTCATTTTCGCCAGATAGGCATGAACACTCTGTTGTTCATCACCGACAGAATCAGCAAGTATGCTATGCGATCTTTTCTGCCATTCTGAAGGCTTTTTCAGCCTTTGACTTCCAAAACATCAACCGACATACATATTATACAGAAGAAATCATTAAAAATATTGGTTATTTAATAATTGTTAAAATATGATAATTTTCGAACAATAAAACCTTACATACAACGGTTATTCAAGAAATCTCAAACATACTTAGTTTAAAATAAGATTTCTATTGTTTTCTGATAGTTGCAACTTGCACCCATGATTGAAAGATTTACTTTTTTTGACAAATTTATGTTTAATGGATTCTATTTACAATTTTTCCCCCACAGTGTAATTGCAGAACAAATCCATCTTAACAAAACACGAACAATTATGAATTGTTAATGTGAACCTATATTTTTTGTTTGCTGCAGTGAGAACCCTGCATCTGAGTCGGAATACAGCTCCTTCAAGTCAGAATTGATCCGCTCCTGGAAACACAACCTCACCCTGTGTAAAAACGCAGTCTACATTCTCATCACTCTAGAGCAGAGCTACCTGGACTGCGACTACTTTTGCGAGGAGGACGATTTCATTAGTGTTTATATTTTCACACAGCAGAAACCTACAAGATACCTCAGGTATACACTTTCAAGAGTTTAAGATCAAATATCGTCCTTGAGAGGAAAAAGTCTATTGAACTTTTGGGTAAGAGTAGATATCATTCTTGGGGTAATGTGGTCAGCGGATTTTCAAAAAACTATCAAAAACTTTTTGTCGATTTTTTAATAGGCCAACTAAATTAATTTTTCGATCTCTCTCAAAGCACTAAAAATACTTCAGCCCCTTCGAATTTAGTATATATTGGCGCCAAAGGCGCCCTTAGAAAATTTTAAGAGTCAACCAGCCAAAAATGGAGGTTTTAAAATAGTACCAAAGGGGGACGCTTTGGGCAGTGAGAGAGTCGAACCCCTGAGAGGAGGGGGAATGGTGCGCACCCACGCCTAAATTTGCCCCTGACTGGAACTAGTAAGAATTATGACAGACATACATTTTTTTTGGCGAAAAAATCTCATTGAGCTCAAAAATATTGCAATCTAAATATTGTATTTGTAATCTAAACTAAATGAGCATAATTATTTTGTACTCGATTTCTTTTAAGAAGCTGTATTTGAAGCATTGCGGTCATACCTTGTGGGATATCTTTTGCAAGCAAGCAAGCATTTTCTGATCAAATATTTAGACTACTCAATTTTGATTCAGATTTGTGAAAGGGGACGATTTGTAATTTTACCACGATATTTTGACTCCAATGCAATAAATTATTCAACAATTCGGTAGTCTTTTTGCATTATTTTTTCTCCTGCGCAAATATTTACTGAAAACTTCCCGAAATTTTTATCGTGATGAGAGTTGAAATATATAATTAATTATTTCTTCAAAACAAAAAGTTTCTTTATTCATTGTTTGAACATCAACAATTGATATATTGCAAGTAAACAAGAAAAAAGGTTGCGGCTTCTGACTGAAAGTGTTGTTCGTTTCCTTTTAACTGTTTGAGGTATGTTTTTTCATATTTTTCGTGTTTTTGTTGTGTTTTTGCTGTCTTGATAACGTTTCCGATAGTTATTTTTGGCGGCATGAATTAAAGACTCCCTCATTTACTTATTTATCTTTCTTTACAATAAAGAGGCGTCAATAAACCGTTGTCGGTGTTTTTCAATCCTCTGAAGATTTTTTGAACAATGAATTTTTAAAAACTATTTGACTTCATTATTATATCTAATTTTCCAAATGATCGGTGTAGAATAGGCGTTCAATGCTCACTATTTGAATTCCACGGAACAGCGGTCTGACAGTGCTTAAAATGAGGCATTGTAATTTCATCTTGGCGACATTTTTCCTAACTGGGCTCAGCAAAAGCTGCCGATTTAATCTTGATAAATAATGGAACCGTTAATTAAGGATACTACTCTGATGTATTTTGATAAATAAATAATGGAAATAAAAAGCGAAGTGTTTTCAAATATTGAGAAGTGCCGACTGCATCCTATTAACGCACTTGATCAGTTCTTGTTCATTTATTTTTCAGACCTTGTTCAGATTAATGGCTTGTCTAAAAAATATGGAATTCTGATGATTATTTTGCAAATATAATTAAGAGCCGCTCTGTTCAGCGGTGAATCCATCTGCGAAGTAAACAAGATAAGGTCTGCAAGCTGCTCAGGTTGATTGAAACTTCAATACTACACCTGACATTGATAAGGATGCAATTTCCAGAACTCCTTAAACAATTAAAAGACAGTTAAATGAAATTTGACTCAAAAAACGTTTTCAAAAAATTTCAGCAAGTGAGTCAGTCACGTTAATTCTACGGCCGAGCTCTTCTGTAAACAGCGAAGTGCCATTATTGTTACATTGCGGATATTTTTAAACTGCCCCTTTATGGATTTTTCCAGTGCGTCGTTCGTTCGGTGGACCAAGTTAATATCCTCCCACCTTCCCAAAGCTTTTTAGGGTCAACAGGGGTCAAATGTATGATCTGACGATCTCACAGGGAATCCCTACTGACCAATTTGGTATTGATATTGATTTAAATCAATTTTTCTACAGATAATATTGCCTAAAAATCGAATTAAATCGATTTACATGGGTTTTCGCAAAGCAAGAAAGTTCATCAAAACCTCAACAAAATTGACTTTGTTGTTATTTGTTTTATTACTAAATTATTTGTTTTGAAACTTGACCAATTTTTTTGACCAAAAAATCTCCATTGGAACTACAGATAGCAAGAGTCATTTACTTTTTTATTTTTACCGCAAATTATTGTGATGAAGGGAATCTTTTTGAGTTTTGCAAATCTTAGTGCTCCCATGGTATAAAAAGTAAATTCTGCAAGAAGTTCTCCAAATGTCATGTCCTTTATCAATGTTCTATGCGCATGTATGTAAAGCAAATGACACATAATTGATAATAATTCATTTTTGGAGCAGAAAATTTAGAGATACTCAGAGTCATGAGCTTCAACAACCGTAATGACGTCAGAATACATAATTACTGTAGTTTCGGTTTCGCTGGTTGATCTTTGTGAACAGCAAATGCTACGAAGTCGATTCCATTCAAAATTATGTGGAAAGAGGTTTTGTAATCAAAATTTTTGGGATTTCAAAAAACCACATTAAAATTCTTTGATTGTTGTATTCTCGAACATTTGGGAAAAGTATTGGTGTTTATATATCGTTTTGAAACTGAAGAAAAATTTGAATTTTTTATTTACCTTTCAAGCAATTTAAATTAATTTTTGATAGCAACATCAAATTTTTTCTTAAAAAAATTTTCTGGTTTCCTGAAAAACATTTTAAATTTTTTGAAAAGCAAAAAAAAAATTATTTTCCTACTGTTAGAGAAAAATTCCACGGAACAAAAACAATTTGCGTTTTTTTTAAATTCAGTTTTATTTAGCTAAAGAAAAAAAAAGATTATAAAAATTTTAAATACAATGCGTCTTGTACAGTGCAGATCGTTTTTAAAAGTCAATCTATGAAAAAGAAAAAAAAATGAAATTTTTTAAGAAATTGTGGCTAATTTTTTGTTGAAATTATATCTTTTACATGAAATTTGTGAGTGCAACCGCTGAAACTAAAAAGATTTTAAAATGTGCTGTTTTTTCGGCTTAAGACAAAATAATATTTGTTTTCATAAAACTGCTCTTTGTTTTCTTTGCCTGACATGTATTTGGAGATATTTAGATTATAATATTTTTTGTGAAAATTACAAGCAAGTTTTTGTTCTGATTGCACTTTATTGTACAATTTCGACAAAATGCAAAAATTAACTGAAACATAGAACGCATAAAACAAAAAGAATAGCGGAAAAGATGCTTCATGGTGGTATACTGAATGTTATGAACAAAAAAATGAGATGAACCTCAGAAATAACAAGGTAATCTCATTGTGCACCATTTATAAGCAAACCAATTTTTAATTTGTTTGTTGTATTGAATGACTGTCTGAACTATGCGAGCTGTCTTTTTTGTTTTTGTTCTGACCAATGAGTTCGTGTAGAAATTGTTTTTTGAGCTTGATTTCTTACTTGACCTAACTTTCAGTCTAATTTGACTTTTTTCATCAAAGTTAATTTTTTAAATAATCATCAGGGTGGGTCAAGTGGTATACCATATTAAAAGTATCTGAAAATTGATCCGAACAACCTGAAACCGATTTTTGAAAAAGTTTTTTTTTTGTGTTGAGAAAACCAGTTTGAAATTTTCACAATATACTTTCAAGTATTTTGTTGTCATTTTTTTCATGCAAAAAAAGCTACCAAAATATTCATCAGAATTGTATAACCTTCTCACTTGTGATTCCAATTATGTTGACAGTTTTCAAAAAAAAATACTTGAGGTCAAGAAAGTCCGATAGAATTTTTTTAATTTCTGGTCTAATTTCGAGCAATTAAAGCGAGTATTTTTTTGTTCTGGTGTATTATAGAACTAACATTTTTTCAACTTGTTCAAAACTTGATTGTTTTTTTTTTTCAAGAGAACTAGTTTTTGAAGCTTCGTTGAGCGGTTCCTTGGCAAAAAAATAGTTTCAAAATTCAAAAATGAAAAAAAAAATCTATTTTCAAAGACAACTGCAGTCGATGATGGCTAATTTATTTACGTTCTGGACCCTTGTTGAGTTATTTTTGTCCCACTATGTAAAAAAAAATTGACACAAATTTGAAAAAATTAGTTTTTTGAATATGTTCCAATAATCCTGTTGAGGACCTTCAGTTGCTTAATAAACAAACAGTGGCTCTGAGGTGCTACTGGTAGGGCGAATTTAAGGGACACTTCCCGTTCTCTGAGGGATTGGACCCCTAGCCATCGAAAAAATTTTGGAAGTAATTTTGAGCGCGCGCCCGAAAATGAGATTTTGAAATGGCCTGATGTATCGAAAATTGCAGGAAAACAGATTTTGTAGATATTTTTTGAGAGCTCGAAAAATCAGTTAAGTACCTAATCGGCAAAAAAAGAAAGTTTTCGATTTTTTAGATACTTACGATTTTGAAATCTAACCGTTCCCCTCAAAAAAATCCTATATCCGCCCCTAAAAACTGGATTTTTAATGTAATCTTAACCTCATATTTAGATAAAATCTGTATCGACATTCCAATAAATGACCCTTCAAGGTATTTTGATTGTTTTTAGTTCATACGAAAAACGACTGATGTCTCGCAACTTCAACTTTAACTTGGACTTGTTCGACCCCTTGACAGCCATACAAAACTTACTCGAGGACCTGGCTCTTTATATGGACAGATCGGCCCATGAAGAGGCCATAGGGCACTCAAGACCAGTGTCCATGCTAATGTTGCTGTCATTTGTCATTTCAAGTTCCATTCTGGCTGCTATGGCGACCATTATGAAAAATACGCTGGAAAATAAAAAACTAAACTCAGATGGTGATAAAAGAGCCCTCAAAATGTGAAGCGTTCGATCAGCGTCTTGAGCAGGGGCGGATCTAGGATTTTCTCGAGGGGGGGGGGGCGGATTTTCAAAAAATTGTGTCCACCTTTTTTTAGGTTGAGCAAACTGATTTTCCAAGCTCTTACAAAAAGTCCCTGTTTTGGCCAAAATTTCTGCCCCGCAGGCAAAATTTTTGAAAAAAAAACAGGCCAAAAAGGCGTTTTTAGGCACTTTTTGAAAATTTTTAACCAAAAAATTGCGTTTTTTCGGCGCGCGCTCCCCACTTAAATTTGGTATATATTGGCGCCCAATGAATAATTTAGAAAAGTTTTAGGGTCAGTGAGCCAAAAATGAATATCTCAAAATAGTTTGGGTCGGCAGGGGTCGAATCCCTGAGGGGGAGGGGGCGTCCGCCCCTGGTCTTGAGATAAAACGCACGCATGAACTTATTATTCAACAACAATTCGAAATAAACCCCACCTCCGGGTCATAAACGTCACGAATTATTGCTTGGCGTCAATTATGTTTGAAACCATTCAGCTGTATATTTTTACGGGCAACAACCCTCGCCTTCCTAACTCACAAGTATCCTTACCCCTTCATGCAAACTACATTTAAGATCAAAATAAACAACAGGTACCCCGGCGCGATAGTTTATTTCATAACCCAAGTCAACATCTCGCCTGCTTGTTTTTATTCAAAACAAATTTCTCTTCTTTGAAGTCGGCTTCAAATTTTATCAAATTTAACTTGGAGTGTTTTTACCTGCTGTAGGGCAACGTCACACTCAGTTGGGGAGTGCTATTTAACTTAATTACTCACATAAGCAGCTAAATTAACAATTTTTATGCAGATTTAAGTCAAAATGCCTGAGGTTAAGTCGGAATTTAAGTCTTTGATAAAAGAATTAAAGGACTTTCGTCCTGAAGCAAATAGACGGAATTCAAAATCAGTGTTTAATGAGAACAATTGATCATAAATGAGGGCTTGATTTTACGGAATAAGAAGTTGAAGGTTACTCTAAGATGCCTTAAAAAATCCAGCAACCCATTCTATCATAGGAGCCTCATTATCAAATCAGTGTATTCCATGTAAAAATAAAATTAAACAAGGTAGCACAGAATGTATTAGAAAATACAAAAATAAAATTTTTTGAAACTAATGTTGTTTTTTTTTCTGTGTGGTGCGATGAAAAGTCCAAACGAAAAATGAGGCATATTTGGCATTTTTTGCAGAAAAATGACTGGAAAATCAATCTAAAATAGTTTCCTTTTTTCAAATTTTTTTGCAAACTTTTTTTTGATTTTTTTAATTCCCAAAATGGTGTTTAAAAGCTCCAAAACCTAACTGTACCCAAGTATAACTAAAATTAATCATAAATAAGTTAATGTAAACGGCTTAAATAAAGCATAAATAAGCCTGCTCTCTCGGTATAATTGCTCGAAATTAGATGAAAAGTCAAAAACTTCAATCCAAACGGGTTTTCCGCGACACTGGTAAACTTTTTTGGTTTTAAGAATGTGTTTAAAGAGAGTGGAATCATGACTAAAAGAGTTTTAATATGATATATAACTCTACCCACTCCAATTATATTGTGCGGTACCTGATTTTACGAAAAACTAAAACAGAGCAGAATACAAAACTCTACCGAATTTTTCAAAAAGTCGCAACAACAAACAAACAATTAGAGATAGTTTTTTAAAAAAAAAATTGAATTTACCAGCGAAACATTTGGAGTTAACATTGACTGAAAGAACTTGCATTCATTCCCAGGTTGACCGCCATAGAACAAAAATTGCCATCAAACAACTACATTCAAAAAATGTTTACAAAATAACTCCCTGAATGTTTTTTATACAAAAATGGTTTTCAAACAAATCACTTTTATCAAAAAGGTCTGATAAACTTTTTTTCCACCATTTTTTTCAGATATTTTTTCAAAAGACTTTTTGGGTAAGTTTAATTGAGCTTACGTTGGGTGTCAATTGAATAAAAACTTATTGATTGTCAAAATTTTATCTTTTTTGTTAAAAAAGTGCTCATCATGCAATTTCCATTCATGAAAATTGTCTGATAAGTTTGTTCTTTCCATTAAAAAAACCATAACTGAAAAAATAGTTTGCTCTCTTTTTGGTCGCTAAACCTGTTTTTGAAATTTTTTTACAATGCAAAATTTTTTCCAAGTGAAGCCATGATTTTCATTCTCTGAATTTTTAGAAACAGAAGCCGCGTAGCCATATAAAAATTTTTACACTTTTTTGTTTTAATTTTGAGTAGAATTTAATTAGCATCTGACTAGGCATTTGGCAATAAATAGTTTCTTTTTCTGCAAATTCAATGCTTTTTGACTTGCTGGTTTTCTCATTTGAGAAAATTTTGGCTTTTTGTGCTTAGGGCGAAACACAAATATAAAGCGAGACACAAAATATTAAATGGAAAAAGCTTGCCATACAGCTCCATAGTATGAAAAAATAATTATCATACAATTCAACTGTATGGAAAAAATGCTTACTCTAAAATTTTCAAACAATTTTTAATTATCTGGATTTGTATGGAATTGTATGTTAAGCATTTTTTCCATAGTATGGAGTTGAATTATAAGCAATTTTGTTCAAACCGGGTTGTTGTTGAACAGATTTTTTGGTTAATTATGAATAAAAGAAACTAAATTCAGGCAATTTTTACAAGTTTTTGATTAAAAAAGCTTCATTTTGACACTATTGAAGGTAGTATTATTAAATAGCTACTTACAAAGTTAATTATTCCCAGCAGTAGTAGTTTTTTGAATCAAATTTTTCTTTCAGTTATAAACATCAAGATTACTTACTTCAAAGCCTCACATAATCCAATGGACCTTGGAACAGTTTTTTTAAGCATTTTTTAGATATCGATGATAAAATAACGCTGGTATCTGCGCAAAGCACTAAATGTTTCCATTTCTCTTTGAGAGGTGTGAAGTAATGTTTACTGAAAAAAAACTATCACTTGTTCAATCTTATTTTTCAATTTCAATCCTAAAGAGTAATTACTTAAGGAATTGCACCGAGCAAAAAAAACTCAGTTAATATCTGAGAAGTTCATAACTCTCAAACTACCATAACTGTATTTAAAAAAATTACAGGGCATCATAGTGACCTACAAAGTCAAATGTTAGGCTTTTTTGCCCACTCTTACAACTTTTTCCAAAAACTGATTTACAAAAACCTATTGAAAATGATTATTGATAGCGTGAAAAATTGAACAACTTGAAGCACAAGTTCTTAATTAGCCCCGAAACTCAGTTTTGTTAAGTTTGGGAATACAGGACATCAATGTTTTTTGGTTAACTTTCTTCAAACTCGCGTCAAAATATCAATCTGTTTCAAGTGCAAAAAATTCGAAAAAAATTTCAGGTTTTAGAAATTTCAAGTGCTTGTTGGTCAAAAATTATGAATTAGCAAAAAAGTTTAATTTCAATCTTTCCGAATAATTTTATTGAATTTGTTTGACTGGAAAAACTCGCAACAAAAACCAGCTGCCACAATTTTAATGCCAAATGTTACCAAAAAAATTGAAGTGTGAATTTCTTTATTGTAGAATTAATACAAAAATGACTATCCCTGTTTTGGAAAAAAAAGCAAAAAAAAACGAAAAAAAAACGAAAAACAAAAAATAGCAAGCAGTATGCAAAAAAAACAGATTAGAAAAGTAACTTCCATGTTTTTATTCAATTTTATCAGTTTTCCCCAAAATTACTTAAGATATTGTTTTCACTCCTGTTTGCAACTAGCATTTGTTCGGGCAACGGAGCTCTGAATATTATGACTGCCATCGTAATATTCAGGCATCCTTGCACGAATAATTAACAAATGCAAACAGAAATGAAAACTATTAGTTGCTACAAAATTGAACATAAAAACACAAAAATTTTATGCAAAAAATCAGAAAAGTAACCTATTACTTTTTGCTCGTAGTTTGAACAAAAAGTAGTGTTCTTCAACTTATTTATTGCTTTAACTGAATATCTTCAACATATTTTGTTTAGCTTTTTTAAAAGTCGTAATTATTATCTCAATACAACTCATTTTGATAAAAAAACAAAAAATCCTGTGTTGTTTGTCTCGGCATTTGTAAAATTGATAGTATTTTATCAGTCTTTTCATCCTTTGATTTAAATCCCATTAACTCAAAACCTAAGAGAAACCTTAAAGAAACCTAATCGAAAAATCAAAGAAGAGGAAAAAAATACAAATGTAATCTCACATACGAAACAAAATTTCCCAGTGGCATAGATTTCCATTTGAATTTTTTTTCATGTTCAAAATCAGTTCACGAATAATGTCCCAAACCACAATAGACACTCATTTCATAAAATTTTTCTCATTCGATCCTCCTTTCAATTTTGTGTTACCTTTTTTTTGTGGTTTTTGTTTTTATCTGTTTTGTTTAGAGATTTGAAATCAGTTTAAAAAGTTTGGAAAAAGGACAATTATAATTTTTATTTCAAATCACTATTTAAATCATCGGATTTATTGGTTTTATATTTCGATTACAAAGGTAGGACAACAGGCGAATGCCATTTCAAGCCGAACAAGAGTTTAACTTCTTGAATGGATGAGAATGTCTCCAATATGACAATATATTTTTCAATTGGTTTTCGAACAGCATATGCTTTAAATTGAAAACGCACCGAAAGTTTTTAATATTCAAACACTCCAAGGTACGCATTAATTTCTTCATGGAAAAAATATCAAAATTTAAAGAAATAAGTTGAACTATTATTAGCTTTTATGTTTGTAACACGTGTTTAAATGTTAACAAATATAGCTTTTTTTTGGCTTGGAATCCCGATTTTGCGATTAAGCCGGAGGTACTGTCAGCTTGATCTCTGGTACCCATCTTATATAATTTAATAAAACTATCAATTGTAAAAACGGACATTTTGCTTCTTCAATGAAATTGGTAGACTCACAGGTCGGGATGTTTGTCTGATTCCACGATAAAAAAAAATATCAGTCCAAAGTTTTCGGTAGCTTAAATGGAAAACATTTGGGCAGCTGATTGTTGCACTGTTTTTTCAGCCAAATTACTGTATAACATCATTCGAAATGGAATACTTTTATGGTTCAAATTGTTTTTTATCACATTTAATTTGTACCAGTGAGTACTTGAGATTGCTGCAATACTAAAACTTCTTGACAAAAGCGCAAAAAAAAAGATAATAGGAAGACAAATAACGGTAGGTTTTTTACTCATTGCGTTTCTTAGATTCACATGTGATTTTTTTAAAAAACTTTATTTTATAAATTGTAAAATTGTATCTTCCTACTTTCTATTTTAACGAAACTTTAAAAAAATTAGTCTTTTTTAAAAGGCAATTCAACTGATCTCTAAGTTCACCCAAAATCTATAACTATATCATCTCTATACTTTTTTCTAAATATATATTTAATTTGTACTACTGGCATGAATTACAGCTTTTTTGTAACCATGGAGAATTTTTTTTAGCTTTCTACTTAATTTCTTCGTTTTACCGCCCTTAATCTGTACCATTTCCCTGGCTGATCAACGGTCAATCTTTCTAATAAAAACACATTTGAAAGTATCGTTTTATAAAAACCAAAAATAAAACAAGCGAAAGCTTGCTTACAGAAACAAAAACCCAAATACTTTAAGTCGACGAAGTAGTAGATTGAGTTTAAAAAAGCAAAAATTTTAATTAAATGTACAAATTTGACTTTTTTACTTATTTTCTTTATTTCATCTCTGTCCCCATCAGCTATCCCTAAAAGCTACGTAAACTAAGTAATTTATTTTGCGCCTGGTTAGGTGAAAATTGAAAAAAGCGATTGCCTCAACCTATTTTGGATTGATTAAACCAGCCGCTCTCGCTTCACTAGAACCAAATATATTTGATGAAACCAAATTGGCAATTTAGAACCCCCAAAGCTTAACAAAAATTGTTACAGGCAAAATATCTTTTCAGCTCAAGGCATCGATGCTACGTGGCATAAAAAACTCCGGTAAAAACAATCAATTAAAAGTAAATAAATTATCTGAATCAAAAATAACTACGGAAAGCATAGTTGTTCCGGCACTTTCGTCGCAAGGCGGAACAAAACACTATCATTTTTATTAAAGTTTCCATAGGCTAGTCAATGTTTTTGATAAAGCATTTTCAATTTTTGAACAGAACTGAGTTTTAAGTATCTTAATTTTTTATAACTTAAGAGATTCATTGCCATTAAAAAAGTTGGTGATATATGATGGTAACTTTTGTTCAGACTATTGAAAATGAGTAGAAAGTTTGGATTAAGTCTCAAAGAGCATAATTCCCAAATGGCATAAAAACGAAAAGTCTCTCAAATGGCATAAATTTCATGCAACAGTTGCTTTGGAAAAATCGAGAACAATTTTTTCGTGAACAATAAGAGAAAATTAGTCAAATTCAAATTGTCAATTCAAATGTTGATTGACATTTTATCGTGAAAAATTTGTAGAACTTTTTATCAAAAGCAAGAAGCATAAGCTTGCGATTAATAATAAGCTTCTTGTGGTCATTTTTTTTCGACAAATCTGTTGCTTAAATTTGTTTGGAATCAATTAATTCCAAATCTTGTTCACATGCTTTTGTTCCTGACAAAATGATAGAACTAAAAATTGTTAGAAAACGTTTAAATTACAATCAAAACTTGAAATTTATGCCATTTGGGAAAAGTTTCCATTTTTATGCCATTTGGGAAGTTACCGAAAGTTTGTATTCGGGTTTTTTTATTTTTTTTTCGTTTTTTTCAACTTTTTGTTTTTCACGCAAAATCAAGTTCCACAAATGATCATCTGAATGAAACAAGTGATACATCAATTCAAAGTTGTACTTTGAACGACAACAGAACCTTCCAAAAACAATTCCCCAGTGCTGAGAAAACCGGTTTGACATTTTATATTTTTCATCTTACTTCGAGTGAGTGAGTAGGCTCACATTAGCTTATTAATGCTTAATTTAAGCCTTGAAAAAATAAGAAACAAAACTTCAAAAGTTTGAAAAATTTCAAAAAAAAACAAAACTTTTTTTTGGAATTTTTTTTCTATTTTTTTTACAATTTTTTTTTCGTTTTACAGTATTTTTTTTCAAAATTTTTTCCAATTTACCTCCAAAACTGTCAAAAATGCTTAAATTAGACTTGTTCCTTCAGATCTATTCATCGCACCAGACAGAAAAGACGGCCTTTATTTGAAAAACGTTTTTTCGTTCTTTGCTTTGCAAAAAACCTAAATATTCTAAGCAATCCATCTTTGCAAAAACTATTGTCAAAATATCTGTTTACGGTTTACGTTTGAAAAAATTTTAAGTTGCAAATAATTAAAAAATATTCAGTAAATTTTCGAAGTTCAGGCATTAATGGCTCATTGAGTTGACTTTCTGAAATAATTTTTTGGTCAAATCAAAGTTTTAGCTGAAATAGCGCTTGATGATTTACAAACGCGCTTACAAAGAGCTACCTGAAATTAAAAGAAGAAGTAATAACCTCTTCTCAGGTCCTAAAGAAATTGAAATAAAAAATAGAACGATTTTAATTGATTAGAAAATTGGATGCCATGACATTTTACGCAATATGTGAAAATTGATAAAAGCACTGTGGGTCTCTCATTTACCTTTTGTCGATTGAGTGCCCGATTAATTGCCGACCGGCAAGCAACAGCTAATTGAACGGCTTTTTATTCGGATACAGACTGCAGGCAGCTTGCTGTAAAGATACTTTTTACTGGTACTTGCTGAGTTTTAGAGTCCTGTTTCTTTTTCTGCACGAGAAGCTTTGTATCTGACTGACCAGAAAATACTTAGTGAGTATGTTCATTTCTGCAAGAATTAAGATCGTTATCTTGGGTTATTGCTGTGATTGAGTCTAAAAACTTGGATTTAAATGAATTAACACGTGCTGTTATCTTTCCTATTCTAATCAGCACACTGAAAGATTACATTAATTATGCGAAAAATCTACACAGGATAGATTGGTATATTGGGCAGATTAGTATAGGGTAGATTGGTATGTAGGGTATAATGGCATAGGGTAGAGTGGTATAGGGTAGTTTGAAATAGGGTTGTCCTGCCGCGCCAAAAAATTGTATGCAAAAGCACAGTCCTGAGCAATTTGTACAAAAAGTTAGAACGCATATTTTTACAATTTTAAATGGGAAAAAATAGAGAAAGTAAGTTTTTTTCAGATAAAATATATTTTTTGATTTTTTATTTCAAAACCTAACCAAATATTTGGAGTTTGTAATTACTGTTTGCCTAGAAAACTTTTGGATACCTAAATTGTGGAAGAAATACTCTGACCTGGGCCATATTTTTTTATTTTCTGGTTCAGGTCAGTCATTCAAATCAAAGTCAGGGGCGGTTTTAGGGGGGTGTCCCCCCTCCTGAGAGATTCAACCCCTTGCCGACCCAAAGGGTCCCCCCTTTAAACTATTTTGAGTATCTATTTTTGGTGAAAGACCCTACAGATATATATTTTTGGCTAAAACACAAAACAGTGTGTGTGTATTTTTTTTGGGAGACCTCGGCTCTCGAGAAAATCCTAGATCCGCCCCTGATCCAAGTATTTGCTTTATGCGATGAAAATGGAGTTTTCATAAATGAGAACCGAGCATTTTACTCGCAGGACTCAGCTGTTTTAATAAAAAAATTAAACGCTGTGATTGCAGATTGGGATATCTTCACTTGGTCTATCTTGATGTTGACTTGATCCACCGGGTGTTCGAAGATCGGCAGCCAGGGGGGACCTTGAAGAACAGGCAAAATTTAAAAAAAACGGTACAAAGGACGCTTTTGGACTCTTTTTGAAAAAGTTGACCAACAAACAGCGTATTTTCGGGAACTCCCCCCCCCCCCTTTCAAATTGGCATACATTGGCGCCCAAATCAGGTTTAAAAATTTTTGGGTCGGTCAGCAAAAAAATGGATGTCCTAAAATAGTACCAAAGAGAGTAGTCAGGAGGGACCAAATTCTTGAAAAGAGGGGGCGTCTGCACCCCTCCCCCAAATCAGCTAGTGTAAACAGAACTAGTTTTTCAACACGTTTAAGCCTTGTCCAACATATTCACGCTTTCGCAGTGTGAAAAATAAATACCGAGATGAAAAAAAAACTATTTTGAAAACAATTTTTAAATGTTTTTTTTTGTGCTCTGGACTGAACTTTCTTTGCGACTCCAAGAACATAATTGACTATATTTGCTATTTATAAAATCTGAAAACATTTCGAGTATTTCTTTTATTTAATATCGGTATGCAACTTAGAGTATATCTCAAATTTTTCGAGCATTGTTCTATTTCATAACTTTTATTGATCTAATCATTAATAAAATCACTTTTCAACTTTTCTTTGTTACGAGTAACTCTCATGATAATGAGTGACGATAGTTACGACTTCTATTAAAAAGTTATTGATTCTGAGCTTTTGATGTCGATGAGTTGAGGCTGACCGTTGAATGTAATTGTTTTGAACAGAGCATTAATTTTCATAAAACAATAGTCCTTTTATCTACTTAAAGTTACAATCCGTGGTCACGCTGAGTCTTACCATTATAGGCAAATTTATACAATGTTCAGTTTTCTTTGATTTTTAGTGAAAACTTTGCGGTTTGTCTCTTGTTTTCAAAACATTTTAAATTTATTACTGGTGGCTGTTAGTATGGTACAGCACAAACGTTCAGGAAAGGTATCCATATTTCCAAGTATAGCAGACATACCTTCGTTACAAATAATGAAATCATTCTGTATGTTTTGAAAAGCTAATTGAACAAATCTGTACTAACATTTGGATTCAAATCCAACCTCTCTTTAGTTACAATTATTAGTATTTGTATATTTTTTTCGTTTAAGTTTCTAACCAGTTCTCGGTGTTTTTGCTTGACTAATTGAACAGTTCCGCTGGTTTGCCGGTTTTAAGCCAGCGTTTAATTGATCTCCAAATGATTTCGTATTCTTACCATCTAAATTACCATCACGGGTGATTAGTGAAAACCGCGGGGAGCCTCCAATCAAGAACTTCGCTTGTAACTCAAGAGGTCTCAATGCCTTTTCGTTCACGTGCGTGTACTTGCTTGTTCACGTGCGACTGTCATGTATACATCTCGAATAATGCTTACATTTGGTCCAACTTGACTTCAATTCCTTCAGGCGCGAAGCGAAGTTATTTAAACCTCGACGTTTGATCAAAGAAATAAGTTTCTGTATCAATTATTACAAAATATCTTTCGTCTCAAATTAGACTTTGATGTTATTCCAATCAATAGGGTATGGTCCATTTGTAGCTATTTGTCCAGCCCGCTTTTTCGTTTTTTGAAACCATCACTGTATAAATAAATTTGGTTTTCGAGCTTTCTTAATTAATTTACTGAACCATTTGTCTGTTAAAACGATCAAAAGACAGATATTTATATTGTAATGGCTTTGTTTTGAACAAACTAAGCCCAATTCAAAGCAGGGATTATCCAATTAAGGTTATTGGATCGAGTCCAAACTAAAGAAGGCTAGCCAATAAGTTGTGGTTTAAGATCCAACCAGGAATCCTATCTTGCAAGTTGGTCATTAATTACTAACCATAGACATAATTAACGCCGGATTCTAAACATTTACACCTCCTATTGAGGGAGCATGTTGAGATTTTATCGAATTTATTGTCAAATAGCAATTTCCGAAAGTTGGACAATTTGAAAGAATTTTTGACATCGATTCCAGATTTGTCCATTTGATCTTTCTCAGTGAAAATTTATCACTCGGCGTGAATATTTTCTCGCGTTGTGATTGGCTGAAATAAAAATTTATTCCTAATTCTTATTTTCGCATAAGAGAAAAGGAAAAAGATAAAAGCTCCGTCGGCTGTTGAAAAAAAAAGACTTTAATTTAATGCACTTTAAATTGCAGTGAAGTCATTTTTTTATGTGGTCTTTTATCATCATTTTGAAAATCCAGAAAATCAGATCAGACGCAAGAAAAGAAGATTTTAGTCCGTTTTGATTCCCTTGTTTTAGCAGCTAGATAAATTTACCTTTAATCAGGTTGCCTTTTATTCTTTTTCCTTTCTAGACTTCTATCGCTCTTCAAAATCGACGAATTTCCTATAATCAGTTAACTACCTGATCCCCTGCTTGCAAGTTAGTAAAATAATTAATTGATATACAAATGGGGGTACAGAAACTGAAACCCAAAAACGATCATGTAGCGAGTTTGAATAACTTCTCTCAAACCTCAGCTGAAACTGACCAAGATAACTGTGACATGAGTGCTAGCTCAAACTCTTGCTCGAATTGCTATCAAACTTGCTCTTCTGCTGACGATAAAAACAACAGTAAAACCGCAGTTATCGAATTCGAAAATCGAGTTTTCTGCAATTCATGTTTGCGAATCTATATTTCATCCCACTATCGTCGCAAATTGTTGAGAGACATCACGTTTGATCTGCGCAACATCAAAAACGCCGCCGACCCAGCCAACAAGTCTCCTGTTGGTCCCAAACCATCTAATGAAGAACCCTCAACGAGGCAGACTTCCGCGCCGAAACACCACTCTTTGACCCTGGACTGCTTGACGTTTGATCTGACATCCGGGAGGTCTTCGGGAACTTCATCTGCATCAACATCGCCGGGTTCCGGGACTGATTCCAAGTTCAAACGTCCAAAGAGTTGCTCCGATTTCCTAATGGATTCCCCGGTTGGAAACTTCACAGTTCACGACGCTCTGAAAAACGGAAATTTTTGCAAAAACTGCGAGTTGTTTTTCCAAACAAGCGCTGATAACTTTTTGACATCGCACAATTGCGTTGAAGCTCTGAAGGAGAATCTCGCAAGTGCTCAAAAAACTTTGGAGAGTTTCAAGCAGAGGTCGAAAGAGCAACTGAAGGCGTTTCTCCATCGGGAGAACAATTTGATCAACTACATGGTCGGTCTACAGGCTGACCTTCTGGTGCAAAATCACAAACACAAAGTGGCCATTGAAAAGCTAGAGAAACAAAACAGCACACTTCTGGAAAAGGTAGATGACCGTTTTTCTAATCTAAATTTTAGCGTTTGTCGGCTAACCTTTTTTTCCTATTAACAAGTCTAACTTTTCTATTTAGTTTTCATTAGCTTCTTTTACTTGTGAAAAAAAAACAGTAATTTTAATTTTTTTTTGGCTGAAATGAATCTGATTTATTTTAACTTTTTTCGTATTCGTTTTAGCCCTACTTAGTATTTGCCAAGTTCTTACTTAGAAGAAAACAATAATTTGATATTTGTTGATTGAAAAACAATTGGATGTTTTTTTTTTTAAAGTTGCTGTTGTTTTGATAAGCGCGGCAGATTTGAATGCGTCCAATATTTTTTCTGTCCACGACCGTTTAAGTTCATTTAAGACCCTTTGAAGCCCTTCAAACTGTAAAAATTACTAGCATTTTTTGTTACTCTGGCTTAAAAGGCAATAAAAATTACTACACATTTAATTGATGGCAATTAAGCCCAAAAGGTGCAAAACAAAGGAGAGTTGTTAAAATCGGCAATTTCGAAGTGATTCAATTTCGTGTTTTTTATTCTCGCCTTGCCATATTGGTAGTTGGCACTTAATCTGTGTTATCTGAGGCGCCTCCTTCATGGGTAAATTTAAGGAGCCACTCAGATGAAAATGGGGAAAAAGGGTGGAAATCAGGGAAATCGAAATCGGACTTGGTCTATAGGGGCGGTACTCAAAGGGGCGTGCACCGTTACCGCCGAACATCAAAGCAAAAGGGCAGGTCCAAAGCCCGTACAGATAATTGAAAAATATCTGCTGCTAAGACACAGCTAATTACAATTCTCCTCTAGTAATTCTGGAGCAAATACCCCATATGTTGCAACACGAAAAAATGAATTATAGATGAAATTTATTGTATAATGCAAATATAATGATCCTAAATCCCGTTATTTAGTTGGTTTATGGTTATATGACTATTTTATGTTTCGCTTTATTTGGAACTATAGCTATGATCATAAGAAGTTTGTTCTGTAGGTGTCGCAACAACAAAAGTCTGCCCAGAAGGTGCGGTTCCCCGACGGCGCTGGGAGATCTGGAAACTCGAGTCGGTTCCAAGTTGTGCTACATCGAGATCCCAACGGGGGGAGTCTAGGATTCAACGTTGCCGGAGGCGTGGTTAGTCTCATGTTCATTCCTAATTAGTCTGTTTTCCCTACTTTTTCACCCCTAATTGACTTTTGATCTATTGAAATATCAGATTTATCACGCTGGTCCGCCAAAATGTTTCCGTTTGTTCAATTAATTTCCTGCGAGTCCTAATTTTGACTGAAGTTGTATCGAATCCCGCCGATTTTTCGCTCGACCGTGAGAGCTTTTTATTACAGGAAGCTAAAAGACCTTAAAAAGCTTCCCGTTTTTTGAAATGTTGCCAATTTTACCGTACATTAAAGTGCTATTTAGTTTCTTTCAACATTTCTATTTTGTCTGATCGTTTATAACTCAAATTTAAACAGTCTAGAAGCAGAGTAAAATTTGCTTTGAATCTAGGATGCGGAAATGTTTGTGCCATTTCCTATCAATTCTTTTTAATTTCTTTCAACAATTCAGCATCTCAGATTCAATTGCAGCAAAATTAATCATTCATTTCATTTCAAGTTGAACGCGCGATCAAAAAGGGGTTTTTAAAGAATCTTTCAATAAATAAGTAGCTGTGTCACTTGATTATAGGCCTCAAAGCGCGTTATTGCGATATTTTTCACGCTTTCAGAGACGTTTGATCATTTTTGATGATTAATTTAGCAAAGGTACAGGCGCTTCCCAATATATAAACACTTAAGGCTTAAGATGTGAAACCTTTTATGATCTATTGAGGTAGTGAGGGTTGATACTAAATCTATAAAGTCCCTTACAAATTTCGCCTTTTATCAAACCATCCTTTGTTTGCTGCGTTTAACCTTAGTGGTGATTTGAACAAAGGAACTACATAGTAAATCAGTTTAAAGCGATGAACAGGAACAAAGGACAAACATGAAAGAAGTTCTCTGCTAATCCAACCTGAAATACCCGACTGTATTTAAGTTCAATCAAAACATCGATTAACAAATTTGCTTTGGTTCAAGTTTGACCCAAAGTAATGAAATAGTTAACACTGTTATATGGATCCGGCCGCTACCTGTATTGCTGACGTATATCCCCTTTTCCTGCAATCAGTTTTGTGATCAAACAAAATGAGTGACATCATTTTTTAAACTGTCTTTGAACACCTCAAAGTAAACATCACTTTTGAACTCAGATGATGTGACAGGCAGTTCGAATTAAATCAATTTTATTGATTATCGCAACAGGTTAATTGGCGGAAACGTTTCAAAAAGAGGCAAAATTGAACGTAAAGTAACAAGGAAAGCCAATTACTGTGCAAGTAGCCCAGAATCCGATTTCCGACCATAATCTTGGAATAAATGCCAAAAAGTTTTTATCAAATTAGTGTTTTTTTTCGAGATTCTTAGGACAATTGGAAAACAGTTTTTGTAGAAAAAAACTGAAATTTACCCGAATACAAGAAGTTCCTCGCCATTTTTCAAATAGTCGGAATAAAAAAATCTCAGGTTGTATTTAATTTAATCTTTGCTTGTTTCTCAAGTTTTTCATTTGCTGTTTTTTTTTACTTTCGTTTCTTGAAAGTTATTTCGTCGTTTCAGAACAAGTCGCGCCAGGATTCGAATGAAGAGAATGACTCATCGTCGTCAGAGAGTCAGTTCCAGATTCCGAGGGGTCTCCTCGTCACCCGAGTGAGTCCTGACAGCATCGCGAGTCGTGCCGACATACAAGCCGGAGACTTGATTGTTTCGGTAAGTTCTTCCTAGCTTTCATTTCAGTTGAAAATTACCTGTTAGTGAATTGAAAAAAATTTCAAAAAAATATCTAGAAGACATGCTAGGATTTCTTATTTTTCCCGTCAGTTTTTGAAAATTAAATGCCAAAAACGTTTTTTTTGCTCATTAGAGCGTTGGTATTATAATCACCTTGTAATTTTGAGAATTTACTCCTTGTTAAAATAGTGGAGAGCACCAATTATTGGTTGTTCAACTGTAAAAAATACAACCGAAGGTAATTTTCTTGAATTTTTGAAGCCTTTCTATCGTTGAATTCTGTCTTTTATGAACAAATTATTTTTAATTATTTCACAAAATGTTTTGAACAAAAATGCTCGTTACTCATCGTTGAAGGCGAAAATTTCATTAGAGCTTTTCTTTTACCGTAAATGATTTTTTTATGATGACTAGTTCCCATTTTTTCTAATCAGCCCAATCTTGACATTCTACACAATAGAGTGGGCGAACTTCACAAATTGGGTGTTTGTTTGGGCTATTAGGCACCACGGGGATATTTCATCCCCTTTTCAGCAGACCTTCTCGCAACTTAGCGGGATGCTCATTAAAAATGAATACCTCTAATGCGTTATAACTTATGCTAAATCAACAACTCCCTGAATTGTTAATTAAACTTTATGGAAAAGTCGTTAAATTCCAATTTTACTTTCAATCGATAAGTTTATGAATAGAGCCAAACCCATCCCACTATTTGTTTCTGCGCATTGTGCTCGCTTGATTATATTACTGTTTTTTTCCGACTTTTGACTGAATTTGTACCAAATTAAACAAAGGTTGGGAGGGATATAGTTTAAATTTAGCACAGGAGGTGTCTCCCATTTTTTGTCGAGAAATTAGATTTTCTAAGATGGGTTGAATAATTCATTCATAGGCGGAGAGATTATGTAATCTCTTTATGATTATCACTTGCTGCGTCGAGTGACAGTATAGAGAGTGGGTTTATCTCCGATCCCAAAATTACCATTCCCACTAATCTCCGATCGGGTTATAACTTATAAGCTGTCAATGGTAATGGACTTGGGCCATTGCAAAGTAGCCATTAAATTATCCCACGGAAATCCGCGCCACATGCAGCCCTGTATTATCATCACGATAAGCAATCAAGTTAAATACCTGGGCTAATCTGGGCTTATAATAATATACCCTCCCCCTAATATGTACAAAGTGGCCATCAAATTGTTCAGATTTGTCGTCTCAGTAATCAACTTTTGATAATTTATACTCAGGTGATTTCAAGGCTGGGCCGAATTAATTAGTCTGCCACTTGGAAAGGCTAGTGCGTTGATTAGATTTGTGAGAAAATTGGGAAAAGTAGGAAAAACGCGTCAATTGAAGGGAGGGAAATTTGGAACATATTTGAGTGGAAAAATTTTAGTTGGTACCGGAAAAAGGACGGGCTTCTAGTTTAATCACGTGTGACAATCACCAAATTGTGTGAACATACTGAGAACAGTCTTGCGTAAAATTTCGATTTGCCTTCCCATTTTTCCCTAATTCATTCCCATTTTTCCCAAATATATTCCCATTTTTCCGTCACTTCTCCTCTCGCGCATGATTAGATTATTTGATCAGCCTCTGGCGTCTCATGGTAAACACATCGGACATGGGGAAAGTGTTTACAATGTTAATACACAGGTATTGAGAAAGAAGTGTTTGACAATTTGATTGACAGGTACCGATAGTTGGGTTGAGGCACCGGGTTAGACTGTCAAATAGCCCCACTGTATACAGTCATTCATGCCATCCCGCGGTTTGTTTACATGGGGTTATATACATATTATTACAACCAGTCATGCGTTTATTTCCTAGCAAACAAGTCGCAATAAACAGTCAATTGCTTTCGACAATTCTGAATACCCTATTCGACTAAATAAATCAAACTTGATATGGTTTCTTCGTTCGAGCTGTGTAACCTAATATTAGATTGACTTAAGTTAGTTTGCAAGCCACTGCGACGTTTGTTGAAACATTCTGCCCATGCTCTATTGAAATTGAGGTACAAAATAGGTAGAAACAAAATACGAAAAGGAGGGGAAATATACCCCGAGGCCGGATGATATTGCTTACCCTTTCTTTCCCAACAAAACAAGAGTCCCTTTTCCAATCAATAACTTTCCCTCCATTCTCTCCTGGCATAATTGATGCAAATTAAATTTCCATATTTTCTTTTCCTGTATTTTTTTTCCATTTCAAGCCCAACAAAGTCAAATTTCGACCATTTTTTGAAAGGATGCTCATTGTGCGATAAGATAAATTGGGGAGGGTTTGGATTTAATATTCGCGGTAGAAATGCCCTGAGGTTGCTTCCTTTAATGTGGAAACAAATCTCCCATAATGAACTTCTAGGCTGTCAATTTAAAGCAAGACATATGTTGAGGTAACATAAGGGGTCATTTTTTGTTCATACTGAAAATCAAACCAGTCGAAGCCAATAAAAATTGTCAGAAACGGCGACATCGTTTGTTTTATTTTAAATAGTTTTTTTTTCAAATGAAACTCTGATTTCTAATAAGATGAAAGGATTCGATAAGACTGCTTAGACATCTGTTTCCTAAGAAGCTGCCAAAATAACAAATTGTTTCCAAACAAACAATAACCACAGAAAAGTTTTCTTTGACACAATACGTAATTTTAAGTATTTTTTGTTATGGGCCATTCCGGATGTTTTTGTGCTCAAAAACCTACATATTAAAAAAGCTTGATGACACATGATCTCTCACAAATAAAAAGACTTAAAATTTAATTTGTAACAATTTTTGTTTGCATTCATAAAAAAAGTCCTTCATTTTTGTGAACAAAATAGGAGGCTGGACTCTGTGAAATCAGTTTATTGTAAAGTGAGCTTTTACAGCTTCAAACTGTTTCTGAAGAGGGCCATATGCCACTTCAGACTGCGGGAGTCCAACTTGTGAACAAAATGATACAATATTTTGCCAACGAAATGTTACTAAGATGATAAATCTATTTTAAATGACCACTTACATCGCGACATATGGCAGCATTGAAGATTGAGTTATGACAACATTCATCTTTCAAATGGAAAAATCTTAGTTTTCAAAAATTTGTAACATTCTAGATCAATTAGGAACACTATTGTTCTCTTCAGGTGAACGGAACAAGCTTGGAGAAGTTGTCTCACAACGAGTGCATAGATGTGATCAAGAGGACCAAGAGTCCCTTAATGGTTGAGGTGGAGCGACCTCTGGAACCCAACATGGTCTCTTCCGGAACTCAAACACTGGCTTCGGACACTCTATTCAGCGGCGTCGGGTGAGAAAAAAGAATTATGATTTTTCAGCCAATATTTATTGGTTGCAGTCTTAAGAAAGAACTTTGTCGAAATTTTGAAAAACAATCATTTCCAAAATATAAAACATAATTTAGTTTTAGGTCATTTTTCAAAAATCATTTCGTCATGTTTTTTTTTGTACAAAAACACCAAAAATTGAAAAATTTTCTGACAAAAATGCATTTTTGTGATACAAAAAGAATCAACTAACTTTCTTTATCTCTCTTCTTCAGTCAAGTGAACAGATGTGACCTGATCTCTCTCTCCTCTTCGGTCACTGACCTGGAGAGTGTGGGGTTAGGCTCAGTGGACCACGACGCAGTTGACTACATCCTGTCCCACTGCCAAAAAACTCAACAACACATTCAGGTTGGCTAACTCTCTTTTTAAAATGCAATTAACCGATATGTTCGAATAACCGAAACTGCAGATATTTATATTGTTTTTATTTTGGCCTAAAGGATCTTACTCACTAGCGGATTTAGACTTTGTACTATTTGATATCCATTGTTGACTAACCGAACCTAAAATTTTGTCTAAGACCGCCTTCGGCGCCAATATGTACTAATTTGAGGGGGGAAGCACGCGCGGAAAAAACGCAATAATTTTTGTCGAAATTTCCAAAAAGTGCCCAAAAACTCGTTTTTTTGGTGTTTTTCAAAAAAATTTTCTGCGGCGCCAAAAATTTGGATAAAATAGGGTCGTTATTGTGATTTCGGAGAGCTCAAAAAATCGATTTGACTGCCCTATAAAAAATCGACAATTTTTTCGATTTTTTTTGGAAATCCGCACCCTCCTCGAGAAAATCTTAGATCCGCCCCTGATCTTACTAAAACATGCATCTAATATTTTAAATGTAACACAGAAACGTTTTTTATCTACATTCAATAAATAGTCATTTTTATTATTTGCAATACGGATGCTATGAAATAAAAGTTTCATCAATTTACAAGTCCATTATTGCAACTGACACGTTCAGTTGTTCTGATAAATCCAACCCCCCTTACCAATTTAAAATGTCTGCCACATGTTGTAAATGTCAGTTTAAACCGCTCTAAAACCCATCAGTTCAACGTGGAAGCGTTTTATACATTTCAATCATCAATAAACGAACATATTTGTCTCTGTCACTTTTCCCAAAGCTCATTTTGAGACTTCCCTTTAAATTGTGCTTTTAAAATTGACGTTTCAAGCATAATGAACAATTGATTCCCCCGTTGTGCATTGAAGCGATGGCGGCATTCAATTCAGAAAGAAAGTGAAAAATAGCCAAATTGACAGGTACCTGTCAGCCTATGCTAATTGGTCGCGAAAAGGGGCTAATTTGAACATTTCATTTTGTCAAACTCACAATGGGTAAAACTGGCACGCGCAATTTTTGACTTTCCTGTTTTTTAAAATACTTAATTTTTAAACAAAAGCGAAAAAGAGAAATGAAGCAACAGATAGTTGTGACAGTTGCTTTTTGTTACTTAACAGGTGACAGAAAGTAGGAGAGATTGTCAAAATTAATTTCCCAAAAGACATCTTATATTTACTACACTTCCCTAAAAGTATCGCGAAAGCACCCATCTGCTATTATACAGATTTTATAAACTTAGAGTGAAAAAATTATTTCCACAAGAATTGATCACTTGATAAGCCTTCACAGCTTTTAAATAAATCAATTAGATGCATTTTGGATTTCTCCCACTTTTCAAGGCACAGGGGCGGGAAAGGGAGTTTTTCCAGATGATGTGAACAATTAAGTGACAAAAAGAGTATTGCTGCGTAACTTAAAAGAGTTCACTGAAGAATTAACTTCTCACATAAATTTACGCTTAGCAGGATATAAGACTCCTCGGAATTTTTTAGGAGCTTCAAACGAAGTTTAGCAACCATTTTAAGCATCGCCATGAACTATTACAGGTCGAGTTCGAATATGAAACAAGCTTTGGAAAATTGACTAAATCCTTTGGAAATCAGTTCATCTGATTCGAAATGAAAGGCTTTTTGTTCTTCGTTTTTTTTCCCTAATCCATCCATCAAAAATATTATTTTTTAAAACGATTTTTCTTAATTGACATACTTCAATACAATAGCGCATTTTCACCAAGTGTTCTGATTTCAAAGCTGCAAAAATTGAATACGATGTTACTGTGCCAAACAACAGATTGAAAACCAAGAAAACTTTTATTTGGATTTCAAAAAACTAGGTTTGAATAAGGACCATGTCGGGGAAAACTAGGGCAATAAAATATACCGAACCGCCTTTTGACCGTGTTAAAAGTGGTAGAACGATGTTTAATCGTTAAACGTTAACGACTAAGTTGTAAAAACAAATGGTGTAAACCTTGTAAAAATGGTGATAGAGATGAAAACCAAGAAACAATCATAAAACGAAACAACAATTATTATGATTTCCTGTCAATATCTCGTCGCATTGCGATGACTCGAAAGGGTTATGTATTTTTTCCGCTTTCCGACGATAGAAAATACTCGTTTTATGTGGATAATTTTGTTTCAGGAGGTTGTGCTTTTCAAGAAGTCACCTGATGAAGATTTGGGAATTATTGCGGAAGATGGGAAAGACGGAAGCGCAATCATAAAAGAGGTACGTCCAGTGCAGGAAAAAAATGAACTGAAATAATGATCAAATCGCGTTTTTTGCTTTAAATGTGAATTCATTTCCACTCAGCGTGAACTTTTTTTCTGGTCGAGCTCTTTTTCTAAATTTATTGAAGTTCTGTAAGAAAATGTGAAAGAGTTATTAATTCTTCTTAAGAACAAATTTTCACATACATGAAGACATGAGTGTTTTCAATTGGCGCCGTCAAAGGCTTCAAGTTTGGCTCACGAAAAATCACGTCTTTAATTTTCATTTTAATTGATTTTACTTTGATTTTATTTAACCTTTTTTCTGAGTTGAACGCATTTCAAATTTGATTTGATTTAGTAAATTTGTTCCTTTGAGTAACAATAACTCGCAATTATAGAAAAAAGCAAGTCAAAGAACATTTGCCAATTCGCTCATCAAAGAGACGCCGGGTCGAGATACCTGCTTCTAAATAGCCGACCACTTTTCAGCAGGTTTGATGTGAACCCGTTTTAACTTAATCAAATTTTTGAACAATAATACTTGCTATTACTGGCACCCCTTTCAAGTCCCAATATCCCCCAGCAAAGAACCCTGATCTGAAAAATCAGGAATTGTTGGATGCAAGGATTGAACAATGACTGTTTCCCTTTCAAATCCCGATTGATTTTAGCTTAGTTGAATTAAAAAAAAGAAGAAAAGATGAAAGAGTTACTTGAGAGAAAGTGCTAATGTTACTTAAAAGAGTTTACCAAACATGGATGAGCTAAATTCTTTCGGTATTTTTTTCAGCTGATTTCTTTAATTTTGCCTCAAGTTTTTTTTTTACTAGTGTCAGTTAAGCTATTGTATTTTTGCTGCTAGCGCTTCATGGCGAAAATTCAATTTCCCCCTCAGCCTTCAATCCCAATGTTTTCTTTCTGATGTCGACTTAGAGCTTTTGAAATGCCGACACAAATATCTTCGAGTGTTTTCCTCTGTGCTTTTCATGTGCGGGTAGTTATCGTAGGGTTAAATTTAATCAAATTAAAGCAAATCATCTCAAGTGATAACAGCGTAAAAACCCTTAACTTCTGATTTTTCTTTTTAAAAAATGAAAAAAATTAGCGCCAAAAATCCTGGCGCCGGTAGAGCAAAAGGCACTTTGATGTATGTCGCGTATTCCATTTGAGAAATCAGTACTTAAGTTTTTAACCTGTTATGGAAAATTTGGAAATTATTTCTAATGCAGCTTGTCAAAAGACATTTTCACTCGACATTAAGATGCAAAGAAAATGAACAACACTTGGATTACAACACGCATTTGTTTAAAATCCTTTGAAAATCAGAATCGAACAAAACTTGTAAGATCATCCTATTGTCCGAATTTGAACAAGGTAAATTCAGTTAATTGTTTTTATCAGGTCGAGAGTTTAAGAGTCAATGACCGTTTACTGAGGATTTGTTCTTTTTTTTGTAGTTTTGATCCCATTTCTTTGAGACCCGATGTAGAGAATCAACCGGGTTTTGATATTCTGTCCTTTTGGAGATTAACAATAAGAAGGGAATGGATATTTAAACGTGTGATACTATTATGGCTGTGATTATTTTGGCCTGACAACAAAGATAGCCTATGTTTTGACTTTGAATGCGTATTGTTTTGTTAAATGCGGTATCGTTTTCATGTGAGGAGAATCAAAGAAGTTGCTTTTCAAATGGTATGACATGAAAACGGTGTCAATCTGTATTCAGACCTTTTATCTCGAGACGATCTACACTTGAAGTGTTGATTCAATTAGGACTTAGCCGTACCTTAACAATCTTTTTACAACCTCTGCAAACATGTTTGTGTTTTGACGATAATCAGATGCTTATAGGCCATTTTACACTATCAAAGATAGCTTCAATAACCGAAATAGGCTTGTGATAATATCTTTGTTTTGTATTGTGCTTCAGATTAGACCTTCTGAGAAAATGTCGAGCAGAGACATGAATGACGAGTTGCTTCACGCGGGTGATCACGTGATCAAAGTGAATGGAAAACACGTGGAAAACACTCAACATTTCCACTATTTGATGAGTAGATGCAACAGCTCCAGACTGTCGATTCTGGTCCACAGAAACATCAAATCTGTAAGCACATTGAACGTGTCATTTTACACTTCATTTTGTTGATCTTCAATTTGAGTTGAACTTCCTGCATCGATACACCAAAAATTCAAGACGGAAGCTCTAGAGCATCTAAGAATAAAGCTTTTGCAACTAATCTTCAGCCATTGGACTATGAAAACTCGTAAAACCAAAATCGATTGTTTAAATTTTGCTTAAATTTTAAAGACAGGCTTGAAAAGTCAACAAACATCTTCAAAAATGAAGCATAAGCGTTTTGAAATAAGCAGTTGCCCATGTGAGAATTTAAGACAAGTATAGAGTCGCCCCCTGGATACTCTTGGTTTAAACTTCACTTTTCTACGAGAGAAAAAAACAAATGTTTTGAAGAAACAAAAACAGCTCAATTAGATCAGTTTCTTGGGCTCTTCCCCCGTAGGGGGAAGTGTCGTTTCTTGAATTGACTATAGCTACAGTTTGTTCAAATTAGAAATTTGAACAATTAAAAGTTCACAAGGTTTTTGTTTTCCTAATTTAAGCTGCTCAAATATTGATTTACTTCAGTTGAAGGGCTACAAAAGTATACATTTCACTTAGCAGGTTATCTAGTTTCAATGTTAACCTTACTGTTAGGCGGAATTTCATCTCGTTTAAAATTGAACAACTAAGAATTCCTTTGTTTTGTTTTATAAGATGCCCAAAAACTTGGAATTCCGACTCAGAGTAAAAACAAAAGCGCAATTAATTCGTGAAGAAAACGGCATTCTGTTAACTTCCTTTCAAATAACTAATTTTTTCATCATCTAGTTTCCTATTTTTGATTGAAAGGCCGATTGAACACAAAACTAGAAAGGCGGAAACATAAAGAGATAACTGAGCTAGGAAGATTAGCCTTGATGAGAGATGAAAATTTAATCAAATTAGATCTAGTTGCTAATTATTTTTCAGGGGAAACATTGTCAAGGAAAAATAAAAAGATTATTTTCATGTTCTGTTAAATTTGCTTTTTTTCCAAGGATTCTTTTTTTTACCCATGCGAAAAAGGGATCTGCGAGCGTTTGTATGGATACATTTCGGGAACATCTCGGCATAAAGGAGGCTGAAAATGATGTTATTGTAGCCAAATGGGGTTAATGATATCTTATAGAGGCAGAGTACTTAGTAACTTTTCATCCAATTAGGGAATTTAGGTTTGAATTAAGAGGGATAATCATTTAATCTGCCCCTTAGCTCCTGAATTATTCCCTTTTAGCCACAATAACGCACCCATCCATTAGCATATTGTCATCTTTTCCCAAATTCCTACCCTCTTTTTTCAGTATTATCCCTAAATCCCATTTAGAATCGCATACAAATAAACGACATAATAATAGAATCAATCCCTCCCCTCAAGTCATTTTAGCTCCAAAGGTATATTAAAAAGTGGAAAAATTCTTTTTATGATGAGATCATTGCCATATATGGACGTTTAAATCAGTAGCTGAAGTTGAAAACGGCCATCCGATTCCTTGAAGTGCAATATTCAATTTGCTTTGAAGTAGGACATTCGCAAATTGACCTTTTGGAGGCAATAAACATCAATTTAGCCTGAAAAAAATCTAATCACTTCTTAATTAAGTGCTTTCTCACCTTTTCAATTCCAATCGAAAAAGCTGTTCAGCCAGAAATTGAAGTCGAAACAAAATGAAGTATACTAATTTGATTTTTATATCTGAACTTGTTCTAAAATAAAGTCCGCCTACCCACAGAAAAGTGGCCCTTCAGAAATATTTCAACATGTTTTTGAGCTTAATACACCCAGTCCTTAATTCTGAAGAGCAACTCTTAATTCTAAATTTGCTCCAATTGCCAACTTCAGGCAGAAAAATGAGCAACAGCTCTATCTTTAACATCGTAGCTTATGCGGACGAAATTTAATTCAATTTTAAATTTGACCGACGGATATATGATTGCTAGCGAGGTATTGATGTTAGAAGTATTTGTTCTACAATGTAGTTGAAATTTTCTTTTTTTAGGAGTTCAGCAAGAGGAAAACCCAGGAGAAAAATTCATCAACTTTGACGACATTGACTTGTGACGTTGATGAAGTTTCGGGCCAGAAATCAGCTTTGACGAATGATAGCAACGAGCCAAAAAGCGACTGTGGAAAAGTAAACGACTCGGAATCTCCGAAGCAATCGACTGACTCGGAACATCATATTGACAACGAAGTTTTTGCCTCAAATCAAACTTATTCAAACCACGTGAAGGTACTTGCTGCAAAACGTGATGAAGTTTTGAGACGCTCTAATGTTTCCGAAAATGGTCAAAAAGAAAAAGTGACGAGAAAAATCAGAATAAAAAGTGACGATGGACAATACAATGGATCTGACTTGAAGCGATTCAGCTCTCTAAAGCGAGAAAATGAGGCTCAAAATGTGTATCAAAACACAGCACAAACTAAGCCCTCTAGCGGCACAAAACAAGCACAATATCATGCTAAATCATATACAATGAAACATTCAAACTCGAGATGCGGCTATGAAATGTCGCGACCTGCGAATGAAAAAACTTTCGAAATGAAAAACTCACATAGCATGACTCTCAGCGGAAAGCATCTGAAGAAGCGACGAGATTCAGCCGATGTCTATGAGTCGCTGCGAACCCGAGACGCGAACGACGATTACGACTCGGAAATGGAGTTGTTGCTGCCAAAAAGTCGAGCGAACCGAACCGAGCGACCCAAAAGCAAGCCGAGTAACCGATCGCGATCCACTGGATCTCAAAATATTTATGCTCAAATCGATGACATCACGACTGACGAAGACATTCCAGCCAATCAGAACGCTCAGAAACATTCTTCGAGACACGACAAAAAGAAAGGTGCGAACGAACCAAGTTACGACCAGTCTCGTGCTAAGAGGAGGGTCAAGAAAACAGTGAGCCCGCCCCTTGAATCGGTTTTGGAGGACAAAGTTTTGACTCTTTCCAAGAAACAACAATCCAGACTTAAAGCCAGAATGATTGACGGGTTCGCCACAGTAACCGAACTGATGACTCACGGGGTATCTTCGAACCCTCTTGTATCTGTTACCACCCTCTAACAGACTTTGTAAATATGATAAAACTCCTAAAACTGGTTAAATTTTTTCTTTAGAGAATAAAAAAAAACCGTAAATGTTGGTGCAATGAATGGATGTTTTAGCTTTTAGCTTGCTTCAAAAATTTATCAAAAGTTTAAATTTTAGTTTTTATCCAATGAAAAAATTTTCTTTCCATAAACGCAAGAACCTTCCTTAATGAGAAACAGAACAAAGCAAGAAGTTTAAAACCGAAGAAAGTGTAGGACATTCCTCGTACCTTCATTGAATGTGCTCAGCGACTGACCTAGGTCTTTTTGCAGGTTGGGGTTATTCAAACATAAAGCCTAAAAGTTTTCTGCTCTTCTAAAAAATCGAGTTAAAGTCTGCTTTCAAGCTCACCTGAAACAGAATTCAACCTGAAATTTTATAACTAGAATTAAAAAAGGCAGCAACTAAAACATTTGCTCGGTTTCAACAATAAATTACTGTTTCAGCTTGATTGTTTTTGAAATGTCCAAGTTTAATAGTCCGAAGCAAGTATGATGACTAAACAGGAGAAGTCAATTGCTACGATGTAGGAGAGAATAGTTTTTTTTCAGTAATAATTCCAAAAAAAAAAATAGAAAAAAGCAAATCAGTTCAAAAATATTCCGTTGATTTCTTTTACAGATGTTATCATTCCACTGATCAATCTAGGGTTTTCTCGAGGAGGGATTTTCAATTAGTTCGACATTTTTGTCGACCTTTGTTTTTTTAGGGAGACTAAATTGATTTTCCGAACTCTCTCTTAGCACTGAAAGACACTGTTTTGGCGCTGCAGGCAAATGTTTGCAAAAAAAGTATAAAAAGATGTTTTTAGGCTCTTTTTGGACAGTTTTGATTGAAAAATTCGGCGCGCGATTTTTTTCGGCGCGCGCTCCCCCTCCAAATTAGTATTCAAGAAAAACTTAAGGGTAAGCCACTCGAATATAGAGGTTTTAAATTAGTATCAAAAGGGAAACCTTTGGGTAGTCAGGTGGTCGAACTCCTGGGCGGTGGTAAGGGGGGAGGGGGGTGGGTGGGGGCTAAATCAGCTACTGCAACTGTATGTGTTTCAAACCAGGCTAGTTTTCTTTTGTTATAATCTTCGCAAAAAAGAAACTTGAGAAACTTCCTGCTCTGTCGTAGATTATTTTGTATCCGTTTAAATAAGAATCGTAATCAAAATGATTTGAAATCAATTGAAACTGATTTATAAATAAGTCGGCGAAAATGTTTTTGAATAAATCTCAAAATAAATCTAAGTAAATGATTTAAGAATTTCAAAAAGTAACTTTATTGCATGTTTGAAAACTCGTTTGAAAACAATTGAATTTATTTAGTTTTTATCCATCAATTTTTATCCATTCTTTTCAAACTATAATTGTATAGAGAGTACCCACAAATTTTCTTGACTTGTTCGACTATCACATAAAATGAGTTAATCGGAAGCGGAAACAAGTTTAAAATTCAAGTTTGTTAATTGATTCTAAAAGTTGATTTTTGGCCTGAAAAAATCTGCAAGAGTAACAAAGTAACTAGCAAACAAATTTATCCCAATTGAGTTTCCAATGCTTATTTCCAATGAGTTTCCAATGCAAGTAATTCGCTGGATAAAGCTGCTCTAAAGAGCTTAAAATTATTTATATTCAAATAATAAATTGAAATTTTTCTGTCTTGCATATTTCAGCAGCAATTTAACCCGTTAATCGCAAAAACATGGAAAGATTCTCCTGAAATTAATTATTAACGGTAAAAAAACTGTCCACAAGTGATTGTAGATTATTGTATCAATGACGTAGATTTTTGTCCCGACCATTGAAAATCAGGAACCACAAATAATCATCAGATTGGGTTGAGTGATATTTCATATTGGAGCCCTTACAGTAATTCAAACCACAATAAAAATATTTTGAAAAAGCTTTCCCAGTGTAGAGAAAAACCGGTACGAAATTTTTAATTTTTCGTTTATTTCGAGCGAATAAAGCGAGCGAGCAGACTTATTACGGCTTAAAAGTTTATAATAGCTTAAATTAAAACGTATAAAATTTACGTGGGTAACGTTAGTTTACTTAAAGTATTTTAATGCTTTTTTGGAATCACAAATATTTCGAATATTTTTTTTTATTCTTTTTTCAATTTTTCTAGTAATTTTTCTACAAAAACTGTTTTTCACTTTGCTTATTATAGTATGGCTGTCAAATATACTTAATCTCCAGTTTTTTGTACCACAGTTTTTTATACCTAATATATCTAATCCACAAGATTGAAAAAAACGACATTAATTTGAAAAAACTTTGTTGTCTTTTTTTAAAACTATGGTCGGAACATCCTGCGCTACTTGCACAGTAACCGGCTGTCCTTGTAACTGATTGTAAATGTTTGCTTTTCAATATTGTACTGATATTTGTAAAGGTCCACAAAATCAGTATACTAATTCCAGCCAAAAAATTCAAAATATTTTAGGCCCTAGACTTTTTGAATAGATAATTTTAGTTGATGCAGAGTCTTTTTGTTTTCACTACGATTTTGATTAATTTGTTTCATTTTAAAAACAAACTAGTTATTTCATGAAGGATGGCGAAAATGTTAAGTTTTTCGGTTGAAGCCTTTCAAGCAAAGAATCTTTTAAAAATTTGATTGAGCTAATTGAGTTATTTATTAGAGCAAATCGGTCTGCAAAAAATCAAACATTTCTTATGACAGCTATTCAAGTTATGAAAATTTTAAATTTTTAATGTTTTTTCGGATCAAATCGTTTTGCGAAAAACTTTTTCTAAGCAAGCTATTCATGTTACCGAAGCCTAAAATACATCAAGTTATATCATGAAGCAAATCGTATGGCAATATTTCTAAGTTTGTTTATTGAAAAAAGTTAAGCAATGAAATTTCAAAATTGTGCAAGTTGATTTTTAGACCGAATCAGATGAAAAAAAATCTAGATTTTTTAACCAAGCTATTCAAGCTATAAATTTTTCAAATCTTTCAGGTTACTTCATAGATCGAACTGTTTCGCAAAAAATCAAGTTTTTCCATGCAAGCTGTTGAGCAAAAAGTTTTAATAAGTTCAATTTAATTCATAGAGCGAATCAGTCAGCGCAAGTTCAAGTATACCAAAAGCAAGCTATGCAAACCAGGAAACTTTTTTTTTCTTAGTTTTTTCATAGAGCGAATCAAGAAGGAGAAAAATGAAAGTTATTCTTTTTAATAGAGCGACTCGGATAGCGAAACTTTTGAGTTTTTGTGTTGAAGCAATTCAAGTGATAAAAATTTGATGTGTTTTGAGGTATTTAATGAAGTTAATTGGATAACTAAAAGTCAAAGTTTAATTAATGAAGCCATTCAAGCAATGAAACTTTGAAATGTTTCAAGCTGTTTCAAAAATCGACCTAATTCAGAAAAAAAATCAAGTTTTCCTAAGTTTGCTATTAAGAGAAAAACTTTGAAACATGTCAACTTAATTCATAGGCTGTATCGGTCAGCGCAAAATGAAGTTATTCTTAATCAAATTCTGTAACCTATGAAACTTCGAAACCTTTTAAGTTAATTCAGACTAAATCAGTTCGCGGTAAAAAAGCTTGTCTAAGCCTGCAATTTCAGCTGTAAAATATTTCAAGTTGATTCATGAAGACAATCTGAAAGAAAAAAAATTTAAGTTTTCATTTTGAAATTTTTCAACTGAAGAAACTTGAACATTTCAATTTTTTTTAGAGTGAATCAGTTCGCGAAAAGTTCAACAAGTTTTATTTGAGCAATTTATTAATCAATGAAAAATCGAAGTATTTCAAGTCATTTCACAAAGCGAATCGGTTCACAAACATTTTTCCTTAAGCAAGCTATTCAAGCTACAAAATTTGAAATTTTTAAAGAAGAATCGGTTCGAGAAAAGTTTGAGTTTTTATTACGCAAGCTATGAGCCTATAAAACATTTCGAGGGGACCAAATCGGTTCGTGAAAAGTTTAAATTTTTCCAAGCAACCTATTCAAGCTGAGAAACTAAATTAAAATTTTTTTGAGCAGACTATTCAAGATTTATATCTTTGAAGTAATTGACTGATTCGGTTGACGAAAAACCAGTTTTTCTAAGCAAGCTTTGCAAGCTATGAAAATATGAAATTGTTTAAGTTTTAAGTCGTTTCATAAACGAATTGATTCGCGAAAACTTTAAATTTATTCAAGCAATCTATTTAACCCTTGAAACTTTGAAATATTTCTTTCCGTAGACTGATTTTTCGTAGAATAATTAAGTTTTCGTACGCAAGCCATTTAGGCTAAAAAACTTTGAAGTATTTCAAGTTTGTACAAAAATTTATTGACCGATTTGGTTTGCGAAAAGCTTAAGTCTTTCTAAGCAAGCTATTCCAGATATGAAACTTCAAAATATTTCAATTAATTCCACAGTTCGAATCGGTTTGCTCATTTCTCAAGCTTGGAGGTTGCTGTTTTAAGTTGATTCGTTTCGGACTTAAATGAATCTGTAACCGCAAAATTTCGGACTAATCTGTCTAGGTACTGTCTAGCCTTAAAGTTGAATTCAGTTCATCTTGCTCTTATTGATTCTTAAACTTAGCACTCGGTAGCCCCTTAACGATTGCAACTGACGTCAGCTAAAAAATTTTTTTTCTGTTATTCATTTAATATATAGGATTGAAAAAGATTTGGATTGAAAGGAAGTATTTTTTATCCAGATCGCGCTTTGTTTTTAGCGAACCTTGCGTCTAAAAATTCAAAAAATTAGACAAGTTTTGTTCAATTTTTTTTATTAGTTTGAGTAGTAGAAGAGTGAGCAAGAGTGGGGGGGGTGCCTGATGACCCCCATGTATTAAGATAGGCTATAGAGTATCCGGTCACCAGGCTATGTATTAAGATAGGGAATAGATTTCCTATGTATTAAGATAGGGAATAGGTTTACCATGTATTAAGATGGTAGGTTTCAGATGGTAAGTTTCAGAAAAATTTTTGGCGCCCGATCTTACCATGTTTTAAGATAGTGTTTAGATTTCCTATGTATTAAGATAGTGTATAGATATCCCTATGTATAAGGATTAGAAATTCTTTGTATTAACATAGGGAATAGATTTCCCAATGTATGAAGATAGGGAATGGTAAGGTTTCAGTGTGATGGTAAGAAAATAGTAAGAAAAACGGTATTTTTTGG